AACGACTGAAAACAGTGAAAAAACTCGCGGAAAAGCTTACCGAGCCAGTCGGGGTCTCCCTTGCCTGGCCGCTACCCACTCGTGCGACACCGCCGCGATACGTGCGACACCGCCGCGAGGAAGACGTTGTTTGTCTCGTCGCCTTTCTGCCCCCCAGAGAATTGGACCTTCGCGGCGCCGACGAAGGCGTAGCTGTACACGCAGAAGATGGCAGCGACGATCCCATTGGACGAACGCTCCCCCTTCACCGGCTCTCTTTCGTGCTTGCGCGTGTTGGACTTGACCTACCGATCCACGGGAAAAGGTCGGCAGAAAACGGAGATTTGGCCGCGGACGTTTGGGCGGGAGATCAGTGCCCACAACAATGTATGAACACGTGCCGTGGAGCGGGTGATGGTTACCGTTTATTCGTGTCAACGTCTAGCAATTCGAGGAGGAGTAGGAGGAGGGGGCACAACATCACACGCGAATCAATGGCAGAGTGAAGATACAGGACGTGAGTACCACAAGAAATCAGGCCTGCTAACCCGAACACGCGAAGAATAGCAAGAATGGCGCATGAATAAAAAAAACTAAAAAAAGTCTACGAAGACGCTCACCACCTGCTGGCGTGACTCCTCGTGTGAGGGTGCCACGGCGGACATGAGAATGCCGAGGAGGGCCGCCTTGGACAAAAGCGAGATGCCCACAGCAACCAGTGCCTGGTACACTGATTCGCCGCTCATGTCCGAGGTGATGGCCACTGAGTTAACACGTCCGCCGCCTCCTGCCGGCGTGTGTGAAGACCCTCCCCCGATCCNATACTAAAAAAAGTTAACGAAGACGCTCGCCACCTGCTGGCGTGACTCCTCGTGTGAGGGTGCCACGGCGGACATGAGAATGCCGAGGAGGGCCGCCTTGGACAAAAGCGAGATGCCCACAGCAACCAGTGCCTGGTACACTGATTCGCCGCTCATGTCCGAGGTGATGGCCACTGAGCTCACACGTCCGCCGCCTCCTGCCGGCGTGTGTGAAGACCCTCCCCCGATCCGGGTGAAGCTGGGCGGGGCCGAAGATGAGACAGCAGTTCCCCCGGCTGGTGCCGCTCCCTCGCGGTAGGCGTAGCCGACGGCACGCCCTCGGGAAGACGTGAAGCTGCCTCGTCCCTGGGACGACAGCCCCCCTGCGGCAATGGACTTGCCGAGGTCGGACGCACGGCGAGAAGGGCCGCCTTCCCCACGGTGTCCAACTCCGACTGCCAGGCGGACACAGACAGCGACGATGAGTGCACGCTGGACACCCACGACGACCCGCCGAGCCCCGATCTCCTGGCTAAGCCCAAGCGGAGGAAGCCGGGCCCGCCGATGCGCTTCGTCGACGACAGCCCTCGCCCGTTCACGGACAGCCCTCGTCCGGTTACCAACGACAGCGCCGCGGGCGACGCCGAGGCTCGCACCAGCGGCATGATCGGCGGCGCTCGGCGCTCATTCCACCCCGGGGTAGGTGGGTCTTCCTCTCGCGGCGGGGGCAGGGCTTCTCATCACCGTCCCCGTCAAGCTGTTGCTCGTACACAGCAGTCAGCACCGAGTTCCGGTGCTTCCCGCCCGCCTTCCTCCGCGGCTTCGACGACTGCTCGCCCCGCGACGACGGTCCAGCGTCCCACCTCTGGCGACACGGACGGACCTGGACACCGTGGGGAAGGCGGCCCTTCTCGCCGTGCGTCCGACCCCGGCAAGTCCGCTGCCGCCGGGGGGCTGTCGTCCNGTCTGACTCCTGCGAGAGCACGGGGTGAAAGGCGCGACAAGGTTGGGGGTGGTATATCCGTAAGCAAATTCCGGAGAGGTGGAGAACCAAATCGCCAACCACCTGTGTTCCAACCCCCCCCCAAAAAAAAAACACTGCTGTGTTTAAAATACGAGGCGTTTTTTCTGGTTCGGGATTTTCGGATTTTCGGTCTTTGCGTCCCCTCCCAATTTTCTGTTGCCGCATCAAGTCGTGCCCTGTGCATGCCAACAACTGATGCTCTTCACACACAGACACCTGGGTGCAACGAAAAGGGCGGGGACCCTCAGGATGCTTGTTCCCCTGGTCCGCAAGCAGTTTTATTCCGTAGTTCGTCTTTCGCAAGCAGAGCTGTGCTGTGTGAGCGGTGCCGCACAAACACGGGAGATGCTCTATTTTCGAGCGCAATTTTGTAGCTTCTGCAAACTATTTTAATCGACTGACGCGGGTTGGAGAGAGCACTAAATCGCTTGAAATTCGGCAACAGCAGTATATAGATGTGTGTACAAGAAGGCACCTGGTCAGAATTTTGGGTCAGGCCTACAGCGCTCAAACCGATGTTGCCTCTATGCTGCTCTGTGATCAAGACATATGCAAAGCTCGTTCTCTTGTCTGCCTCCAAAA